TATTAAGTGTGATTGGTCACCTAAAGAATCTATCATCTTAAGAAACTCCTAAGCTTGACTAAGGGTCCCTAAAAGAATACGTTTGGGTTTACTACCAGAACATGGTTTGGTAGTTCGATTATATATAGGGAAGGTTATAGCACCCCTACATGCCTATTCGAATAATGGTACCATATTATTTTAAATTTATCCTAGGGTCTTGATTCTAATGATCTTAAATTTTTATGTTAAATATAGATTCTTTCATCAATCTGATAGAATTCTTAAAAATATTTTTTCACCTCAATAGTATTCAAGGATTCCATTTGTTCCTTGAAGAGGCTCCGTCGTCGGAAAAAAGTTTAATTAATTATTTTTATTGTTGAAAATATATCTAATTATTTTATCTTTTAGGTCAAATTAAAAATATTTTCTTATTTTGAATTTCTAAATTCTCCACCATTTAAGCCTATTTAGAAAATTCTTTTTATTTCTAAATTTTCCACTGGATCAATTTAAAAATATTTTCTTGTTTTGAATTTTTAAATTCTCTACCATTTGGGCCTATTTTAGAAATTCTTTTTAGTTTTTTATTTCTAAATTTCTCATCATTTAGGTCAATTTAGAAATATTTTTTTTTTCGAAATTTCTAAATTTTTTACCATTTAGGGCCTATTTAGAAATTCTTTTTATTTTTATTTTTTGGAAAGAAAATAATATGACAATTATTTTTATTGAAATTTCATTTAAATTATTCTATCATTTAGGATAAATTTTAAAAAAATTTCTCACCTCGAGATTTCTTATAAATTTACTATTTAAAATTTCTACGAATTTTATCATTAGATAATTATCAAATATTTTCAACCCAAATTTTTATTTTTTTATTATTTATATTTTTTTCTATTTGAAAATAAATATTAATTATTGTTATTGAAACTTTATCTAAATTATTTCAGCATTTGAGATAAATTTAGATAAAATTTTTCATCTAAAAATTTTATAAAAATTTACCATTTAAAATTTCTATAAATTTCATCATTGGATAATTAATATTTATTCTCAAAATTTATTTTATATTTTTTCTATTTTTTTAAATTTATTCATGCAAAAAATACATAAAAAATAAAATAAATTAACAACAAATAAAAATACTAAAATAGGGAAACGACTTGACTCCAGGCATAAAAAGCGGCTCGGGGGATGCGACTTGGCGGTTCGGCTCAGCTTGAGGGATCGATTGATATATGGGTCAAATACGGGTCAAAAGTGGGTTAACGCTACGGGTCGGGTTGCCCGAATGAAAAATGCGATGATCCTGAGTCTTTTTAAACGTCGAAACAGCGTCATTTTGGTGATGCTATAAAAGGTCGATTTCTTTTTTTTTCCTCAGATTCCTCCTTCCTCGCTCTCTCTCTTCCTTTTCTTTTCTCTTTCTCTCTCTCTGAAACTAGATGAACTTCAGTTGAATCTCTGTAAGATTCTGAAAAATGTTGCTGAAATCTAGGAAGGTTCGTCGAAAAGTCATCGAAAAATTTAATCGGCACTGGAATCTGAGTCGAATTCTAGGAAGCTTGTCAAAAAATTCAACCGGTGTTGAAAAACTCATCGAAAAATTCAATCAGCACCAAAAAATTTTATCGAAATATGAAAATTTTTAAAAAAATTTTCGGAAAAAAATATTTTTTTACCTAAAAAACTCTAAAAATTTTTTTTTTGCTTTTTGCTTGCTATGTTTCTGTGTCCAAGGCTATATTTATAGGGCTTCAATCCGAGAGCCCTAAATTAGATGGGATTTCAATCCTTAATTCAGCTTAAATTCTTCAACTAAGTCCTACCCAAATTCAACCACCATTTTTCCTATTTTTTCATTTTTTTTATATTTTATATTTTTATATTTTTTAATCTTTTTATTAACAAAATCCATATCTTGTAGACCCCCAGACAAATTGGGGTGTCCACAAGAATGATAACCTTTTTTTTTACTTCTCATTTTTTGCTGCTTGATTTTTAATTTTTTTAATAAGAAAAGTTTTCAAATATTGGGTTTTTTTAAAATTGTTTTAAAAAAAGAGAATGTTGATTTGATTATTGGAATAACATTAATATATTATATATGTAGTTCTACTCAACTTCATTTCTAGGAAACATGTGTGAAGTAGTGAAACATGTTGGTGCTAAAAACCTAAAAGCTAATTTGTATGCTACTAGTTGGTCTCTTGGTGCAAATATTCTTGTGATATCTTGGTTAGGTAAGATAGCTGCATAACTATCCATATTTTTTTTTTTTTTTTTTTGTGATGAAACTTTTCACCTTAGTTGGTTAGTTTTGAAGCCATTGGTATAAATGTGTTTGTTTATTTGTTGTGAGAAACTTCAGTTTTCTTCATTTTGCGAAGTTGTTATTGGCATTGTTCATTAATTATCTTCAAATTTTTTGATTTCACGTATTTGTGTTTTATTAGGGCAGTTGCACTTCTTCTAAGTAATTTTCATCTATAGAGTTTATTTATTTCATTAATTTGATAAAAGATTTTTACATTGATTTGAGATAGGGAAAAAGTCTTGATGATTCTTGATGGAGCACTTCATTATAACTTTGAAATGGAATCTATTTGAAAATTCTAACTTTTCAATTAAGGCAAAGTTTTATAGGGATAGACTATAGTTAGTTTAAGGTTTACCCTAATGTTTGGTGCATAAAGGTTGACATTAAATATGCCTTGAATAGTTATTTTCAATATGATTTTACTGCTAACTTGCTTTAAGTTCACTACTTTAGAGGAAAAAAATTTTATACTCTTTATTTTTAATGTTAAATCTTTCTTTAGTTCTGATTTTGCTTCTTTTTCTCCATTTTATCATAGCACTATTTCCATTTCATCTATCCTTTGACTATGTTGCACTTGCAAGAATCTCATACTTGCCCTCTTTCTAGTGCTATGTCATTGTGTAATCCTTTCAATTTGTTCATTGCTGATGAGGACTTCCACAAAGGTTTTAACAATGTTATGACAAAGCTCTTGCTAGAGTCCTAAGTAAAATATTCCAGAAGTAATCTTCTTATAAGATGCTTTTATTTGAGTATCGCTTTTATCAACTTGGTATCACAGTTTTTAGAATTTCACTTGAATCTCATGTGTTTTACAGGCATGCTTTCTTACTTGAAGATATGAAAGGTGAATTTAATATTCCTTTAGCTGTTAATGCAAAATCTGTTAGGGACATTGATAAAGGACTAATACGAGGCATGCTCTTAACTGTGATATTCTTTTTGAAAAGAGAAGAGGGCGAGGTTAGAGGTGGGGTTGGGAGGTAAGGTTTATAATGAAACATTATTTGCTTATAAATCTTTCTATGTTTCATTATAGTTTCATTTGGTTTCAAGTTGGCAGGTAAGTACTACTCAAATTCAAGTAGTTTTTATTCCATAAAACATGTTCAAAGATCATTGCTCTGTATCCAGGTGATATATTTGTGCCAATTTTGCAAATGCATTTCTTGAATTTCTTAGCTACTACTATGTTGTTCAATATCATCTTTATGATGTTGCTATCTTAAATGACATGCATTAAAATTTGACTTTTGGCATCAGTAGATTGTTTTACTAAAAGAAAAGAACATAAGACTATTGTTGTGTTTACTTTTAACAAATGTATTAAACTATTTAACATTTTTCTAATAAATAATTAAAATTTGAATCTAAATGCTGTGTTTATTCTTAATGAATGCAGATTTTCAATGGTGTTTTTCTTAAAGTGAACAAGGCAATAATGAACATGCTTCATCTGGTTGAACTTTATATGACTTTTCAAGCATATTTTACTTTCCTGCTTCTTTGCTTTCTTTTTTAATATTTTATATACTTCAAATGTCTTATTTTTTAGTAATATATGTTTCTAGATACCCTAATCTCAAAAGTACGAAAGAATTGATTTATAAGAGAGGTTATGAGAAGTTGAACAAGTAAAAAGTTACTTTGACTGACAATGCAATAATCTAGCAAGTTTGCATCTTTTGCATTATAGAGCTTCATATTGGTACTAAACATTTACTAAGCACAAATTTTTTTTGTAATGAACATTTACAGACCTTAAATCCAATTCTGGAAACAACTAGAAAAACGTTAAATAAGAAGACAATAACTACTCTGGTTTCTATTTCCAAACTTAGCCAAGGCTTACCACCTCCTCATCAAGCATGTTTCTATAACCAACAAATACAATTCAAACAATATGTAATTATTTTCAATTAATTCAAGTCAAAAATTTTCTTTGACTTTTTAAAGATTACAATTTTTTAATATTTAAACTAATATATAATTGTGTTTTACTTCCTCAAGTGAAACGAGCGCTTGAAATGTAGTTTATATATTAAAAGAAAAGAAAATTTTAAAAAATTCTTAAACTAATTGTTACTCGTTAACTTTAATTTCATCAAATATCTTTTATTTTTTTTATTTTTTAAATAGTACATCGATAACAGTTTGTTTTAGTTCAATTTAAAAAATAAATTATAATTAATTATAAAGTATTTTGAATTTTTAAAATTTGAACCAAATAGAATCTCTAATTAAATCAATTTAAATTAAAATCAAGTTTTATTAGTTAAAATATTTAAAAATAATATTTTTATATTTATTTTATAAAAACTAAAAATAATTAAAATATTTATAAAATATACAATTCAATTATGTTGAAATAATTTCAATTTTAAAATTTATGAACAAAATCAAATCAAATGAGAAAGTTTTATTATTTAAACCAAAATCAAATCGAATTCATAAAAAAAAAAAATCAAACACTACAATTCGAATCTATTTTTAATTTTTAAATATAAAATAAATTATAATTAAAATGAAAAGTGACAAAAGATCCTTAATTTTTAGCAATTATAAATTTAAAAAAATTTAGACATATAATATCTTCTTCAATTACGAATGTAACAGGTAAAAGAAAGTATAATGATAAATTAAAAACTAAAAAAAAAATTGTTATAACTTAAAAAAAATCTTAGGAAGGGTATTTTGGGGGATCACACTCTCAAACATCTTTTATTATTATTATTTTTTTGTTTTTTTTTTTAAATTATTGTTATAATCTTTTTTAGTTTTCCAAAAAATTTTAACAAAGTGGGATTCAATTGGTAGGATTCAATTAAAGGCTGCGCCTTCTTTTCTTCTCCACCCTCGTTGGCTCAAACACCAAATCCAGATGGCGTTGCAGACAGGTGTTCAAACCTCCAAAATATTAATTCTGATGGGCGCAGGTTCTTCTATTTTATCTATAATCTAATCTCTTCTTTCCTCTCAATTACTTCATCTTTCCAAAGAGTTTTAAAATTTGGTTTCTTGAAAATTTTGGTATTAGGTTTGACTGGTTCAATCGTTTTGAGGAGTGGGCGTTTATCTGAACTCATTTCCCAGCTTCAGGAATTGCTAAAAGGCGTCGATGAAGTCCAGTTCTCACCTTATAAGTACGACCGCACCCTTCTTGCTGCTCAGGTACTCTCAATTTTCCTTGTCTTTTTCATTCAAATTTGAAACTTTTTAGTTTACTGTAACTATCTAATTTCGGCGTTTAAGATTATTTGTCAACTGCCAATTAGGTATATAGAACATGTTAGACCAGCTTTGGGTGAAATGCCAATGAAATTTTGCAACTTTTCGGAGTGATTTATGTTAATTGTTCACTTTAAGGTTGTATTGAATTTTGTGTATAACCTTGGTTCGTTACTTTTAGATTAAACAATTGGCGCAAGAGCTCAAGGATTTGACAATGTCCAATCCTGTTACCATACTTAATGGGAATTCAGACTCTGGCGGTACGTTTGTCTATTTGAGCTCTAAAAAATTTAAGTCTGCTGTATCTACTCTCTGCTTCCTGTTTTGCACCTTGTCGATTTAGATACTGCCTGGTCTCCTTTATTTGATCTAGTGAATACTTTAATGATTAACTTCATCTATTAAATCTATCGAGTTCTTGGTCATGTTCTAGATTATTTTGATTATTTTGGGTATAAAATATGTGGGTTTATGTGTGTATTTTATAGAGAGGGTCAAAATTATACTGTTCTGTGAAGAATTAGAAGTTCAACTTTGTTGTTTAGTAGAGGAGTCATATACCTCTGGTTGGTTTCTCACTCTTTTTCTTGTGCACGCAGGGGGCATTGCTTCTTATCTTGTGCCAGCTGCTGCACTTGGAGCGTTAGGATATTGTTACATGCGGTGGAAGGTTAAAAATTTTTATTGATGAATCAAAAAATAAAATATCTTTTCTTTCCAAACTGCTTTTAATATTGCAATTTTAACATGCTGCATTGCTGATGTACGATTTATATCCTTGATTACGTAGGGCTTGTCATTTTCTGATGTGATGTTTGTGACTAAGCAAAATATGGCAGATGCTGTTGCAGCAGTGTCAAAACAGTTAGATAATGTATCCGAAACATTAAATGTAAGTAATATTGATGTTCCTTTTATGTAATTACGCCAATCCTTGTAGCGATTCTCTGTTTCATTCAATTTTCAGTATTTGATTTGGTTCTTACTTCATTCATGCAGTCAACAAAGAGACATCTATCCAAGAGGTTGGAAAGCTTGGACTGGAAAGTGGAGGAGCAGAAGGAAACATCTCAGCTCATTGCTAATAATGTATTTGAACACTACTTTTGTTTTGTGCTATCAGTTATTCAGAGGGGCAGGGGCAGTGGATATTGGATACCACTGGAGGGTCAAATATCATTTTTCCAAGAGTCTTTTGCGATTCATCAACTGCATTTTGAGGAAAATTTTAAACCTTGGTCCCTTCTCCTCCACCCGTTGAAATATTTTTCTTACTTGTATTTCAGCTTGAGTTGTATTCCATTCTCTCTTTTCCTTTGGTTTTATGGATGATAAATCAATTTCCAAAGTCTTCATCTAGTTTACATTGACAAAAAATAGTTTCTTGGGCGCAAGTAGCGTGGTTGATACCTCCTTTTCTCTTTCTATAGCAGTGATATAAAACTTTGCAAAGATTGGCTTCTATCAGTTTTAGAAGCTCATTAAAAATCTTAACTAATAGAGGACAACTGCCCAAGGATTTTAGTTGCACTTTATCTCAGTTGTAGATTTAAAATTTAGTGGTTTCCAGCTATAATATGTGATTTCAGACTTTGACACGTTTACCAGAGTTTGAAATCAGACTGTCTCTCTTTTAATCTCTCTTTCTTGTGGCATTGCATTAGTGAGAACGCATAGTTGGCAATTAAGGAAACTCTTTTGAGAGTTTATGTTAGATGATTAGTGCTTAATTTTCTTATGTCCATAACTTTTCCAAACAGAATGAAATTCTACCATACAAGTTTATGGGTGGTCCAGCATTATGCATCTTCTGTTAAAACAACATCCATTCTTCCATCTCGCCTTTGGTTTGCTTATTCTCTTTATGAGAAAAGAAAGAGAGAAAGTGATGATCCTGCTCATAATTACACATATTATTACTTGTATGCAGGTTGATGATATGAAGTCAAACCTTTCTGAAATTGGTTATAATGTGGAAATGATTCATCAAATGGTAGCTGGATTGGTAAGTTGTGTTTCTTTTCTTATGTTTAATCTTCAGGTCTGCCAGTGTTATTATTAGCAACTTACCAGCTGATGCTTCATTTGTGAATGAACTCCACAGGAAGGAAAAATTGAGCTTCTTGAAAACAAACAGGTTTATAATTCTGATACTGATTAAATATTTCTCTCTAAATTATGGAATCATGTAGAAGTGATAAATTGTTTGATTTCTTCCTCTCTGCCATGCAGGATGTGGCTAATTCAGGTCTTTGGTATCTGTGCCAATTTGCTGAAGGAGTTAAAGATGGGTTCAATACTAAGCTTTTTGAGGTTAGATAATCTGTGTACGTTATTATTTTTATGCATTATGTTCTATGAAATAATGATGATGAGAACCCACTTCCATATCAGTATTATATATTACAGATGCATATTGGAAACTGATGTGCTTATTGTGCCATAAAAATTATGTTGTTTATTGGGGCTAAATGCTAAATCTTTTTTCAGGTTAGTTAATCTGTATGAAATCAGATGATTATTATGCATTATATTCTATGAAATCAGATGCTAAACTATCCATTTCCATATGTGTATCTTACTTCTATCCATATTGGAAACAGATGGACTCAACGTTCCAAAATGCAGAGCAGATACATAAAGATTGTTTTGGTTATATTTGGATATAAGATATGTGTGTACTGGAGGGAGCTTTGATATTTTAGTTGTTCCTCTAATTGTTGGACTTGGTACCTAGATTGCATGGTCTAATTGATGACAAAAATTATTAACTAATTGTGGTTATGAGGGTTTTGAATGCCTTTTAAGAGTTTATTGTCCATTGTCAATTCATCTTATATCTGTTAATATTTTCCTTTGTTATTGTTTTTAGGCTAAAAAATTCTGAGCATTCATGATCTTTTTATTTTCATTAATTACTAATTGTTAGAATTGTATTATCTTGCACATGTATCCTGTTTCCATATCCTGTTGGCACGGGTCATGTTGTGTAAGACGATACTATGGCTTCAGATTGTACATTCTTGCCCTGAGTGGCCATCTCTATGTCCCTTGACTTGTTAATTTTATCTGCTTGATATTAATCTATTTGTGTGTTGCTCATCGGCAGGATGTTGGTGCAAAGCTTGCAATTGATTCAGCTGTGAAATTTGAGGAGAAATCAGTCAAGGTATGTAAAACCAAGCCTTAGTTTCTATACTACAAACCTATTTCCTCTCTCCAATTAAATGGTCCAAGGCCAAATTTCAGGGACTCCAATTCCTTGCTGAAACCAATGAGTCATCCGTGAGTCCGAAACCAACAGTAAACTCTGAGGAAAATGATGCACAATCCCCTGTCAAAAAAGTCCCTATCATGAAAACAAAGGTACTCAGATCGTATCCGGTTGGAATTTCCTGGGCCAGGGATATCATAGGGAGTGATAGATAATTTCATGTTTCCTTCCCCATATGATCAATTTGTGAATTAGACTTTCCCATTTATTTGATCATGATTCATGAGCAATGAAGCATTGTTCTTGGAATTTACATACATGCTGTAATTTTTGTATTTTGTATTTTGCATCTCCTGTTTTCTTGGAGGGTGAGAGTAAATGCCAGAGTGATTGCATTCTGTCATAGACGGTTAAAAGGTTTTCCAATTTTATTAGATGTACAAAAATAAGTTTGGATGATGTTGTTGGTATTGATAACATCATAAAATTCAGATCAAGCAGTTTCACTGCAGCATCTTGATTCTTTAGGGATGATTTTTCATGTTGGCATGATCTATAACTAGATCATCCTTTGTACATTTTTCTTGTTTTAGTTGATGAGACATTTTGCTTGTTTTTTCATTTATTTGAGAAAGGGGATTTGAACTTGTTATTTGAGTAGAAAATCATGTACCAACCATTGAGCTAGATGTTCCTACGATATTTTGCTTATTATTTGAAAACCAAGAAGTCCTTATTTTCCAGTCTTTGGGGGTCTCTTTCCTTTCTTGTTGTCCAATCCTCTTATCTTAATTCTTAACTATGGATGTTCTATTTCCAAGCAGCAAAAATAATATTTATATGTTTCATAAGAAAAGTGTGGATGTGGAAATGAAACGCTGTTGTTTTGTACTTAGTTGATACTTCAGTGGAACAAATAAAAGAAAAGGTGATTTCTTTATTAGATGTACACTGTCTATCACCTTGTGCCTGTGGCCTTTTATCCTGCAGCGACATTTTCACTCATCTAGTCTTTATTAGAGAATCGATCTGTATTAAAAAATAAGCCTACCAGAAGGAGGACATATTCGTATCACCAATCTAGGTTCTCAATAGGTTGATCTTGGAATATATCGTAGCCATGGAAGAATCTTGGCCAAGGGTGCTTCTATTTGTAACCACGTTTTCTCTTTACATTTATTTTTTATTTTTTATTCAAAATTATCTCTAAGTAAAATTATCTAATTATTTTTTATTTTAATTTTAAAAGTTTTTGGGTATGCATGTTTAATAAATTTTATAATTTACTAAATATTTATATCTATTAAGTTATATAATTTATCAAATATTTATATCTAGTAAGTTTAAAAAATATGTATTTAGGGTTTTCAACAAAAATCATCAAATCAATATTATCTAGATCTAACAAAAAAATTATTTAGCTAATTTTTTGGGATTATAGCAAAATACATAAATTTAGTTGAGAAAAAAAATTTTATACTTTGAAAAATTTTCACAATATTATAAAAGAAATTGTTTCAAATAATTATAAGTTCATTTACAAATTGATAAACAAAAATTATAGCTTAATAGAAAGATCATCCGATTACAAATTTATGGGTCTTTGAATTTTTTTTATTTCTTTTAGATATGCAAATTAAAAAATTTTAAAAATTTTCAGATTTTAAAATTTTTAAAATTTTAAATCTGAAAATTTAAAAATAAGAAATGTTAATTTGAGAAAAAATAATTGATTACTTTCACTTTAAAATAATTTAAAAAAAAGTATGAAGGAAAAAAAAAAAAGATGCAAATAGAAATAGAAACACCCTTGACAAATTACAAGCATAGTAAATTACCTCTTTATCCATCATTTAATTTTATTTGAAACTATTGGAAATAATTTTTTATTTGAAATTTAACTTTAATTTGTCAGTCCAGCTGCTTTGACAAAATCCGGCCCGTCCCAAATCACTATCCAACTTTTGATGCGATAATAGCCATAGTCTGGTTAGTATTCTTAAGGTAGGGCTTGGACTTTGGAGAGAAAGAGTCAGATTCGTTTCTATAAACTTCTCTTATCTTCACGGCTTCACATCTGTTGTCTTTAGTCTTTACCCAGCACCAAAAGAAGCTAGAAAGGTATTCATTTATTTTCTTTATTTTATTTTATTTTATTTTTATCTTTTCTCCATCTTTGATTAATTTCTTTCTTGTTTTTGTCTTAATTTTTCGGTAATTAATTGCTTATCTTTCTGTATAGTATCGTAAATTGATCTTGATCAAATTACCTTTTTTTTTTTTTTTGTTTTCGTAAAATTTAACTTTTATTAGGGTTTATGTCGATCGAGCTTTTGTTTAATTTCTTTATCATATACTACTTATCCTTCTTTTTTATTTGGTTTGACTTTGAACTGTACTTTTGGCTATTAAATCAAAAACATAAATAATTTTTTTTCACAAATTTTAATAAGTAAACTTGCTTGATTTTAACAACCCTAGAAAATTTTATTATTAAACCATAAATTGTTGAAATTTCTGGTTTGTTTCGTTTGTAATAATATTTCTTCAATATCCATCTTCCTTTGTGGTTTGCACTGAAATTACATATTGTTTTTATGTCCATTTTTTTGAATATGTATACACTTGTTTCTGTTTTAATTTGGTTAAATTAAATTATATTATATTAAAATAATTTCAATTTCATGCATGTTGAGGTTTTTGGTGCATGTAAAATATCTGTTTTTTTTTTTTTTGGGCACAGGACAGCAAGAAGAAACCATGCCGAAGAACAAGGGAAAGGGAGGAAAGAACAGGAAGAGAGGAAAGAATGAAGCAGATGATGAAAAGCGTGAACTTGTGTTCAAGGAAGATGGGCAAGAGTATGCCCAAGTGCTTCGTATGCTAGGCAATGGCCGGTGTGAAGCCACGTGCATTGATGGCACCAAGCGCCTTTGCCATATCCGTGGAAAGATGCACAAGAAGGTTTGGATTGCTGCTGGTGATATAATTCTTGTTGGGCTTCGTGACTATCAGGATGACAAGGCTGACGTGATCCTTAAGTATATGCCTGATGAAGCAAGGCTCTTGAAAGCATATGGTGAGCTTCCAGAGAACACACGCCTCAATGAAGGCATTGTTGATGAGGAGGATGAAGCAGGTGCAGATGATTATGTCGAGTTTGAAGATGAAGATATAGATAAGATCTAGGGTTTTGGACTTGGTTATGTTTGAACGATATGTTTAAACATTAGAAGAGAGATATGGATGATGCTTTTAAGAAGCCTACAATATGTGGGATTTCTCCCATAAGGTGTAAGTTTACATTTATAACTTATAAGATACAAGTTACATATTTATAAGCGGTGAATGTGTCACTATTAGATTTTTATTGTTAATATTACTCAGTGTGTTCCATAACTTAAAGTTACCTTTACAGAGATGATAAAATTTAAGCACACTATGAGCATTTTGTCACCGGGTTTGATACAGATGTTAATGCTTTCAATGTGCGTTTGATACCAATGATGTGTGCTTTAGTAGGAGCCTTAGGTTAAATGCAGCCTTGTGTGAAGTAGGATGCATACGTATATACAGCATGCATTTAATTTCTTTCTGGCCTTCTATTTGCTTGCTCTTGTGCCATTCATATTTTACACTCTCCCCAGAACCATCTTTCTGGCTTACCTGCATCATTATTAGGAGTGTTAAACTGTGAATAAATAGAAACCAGAAAGTAAACATACATCTATTAGCATCCAACCTTGCCAGATTCCTTGGATAGCTGGTAGCTTGGTATAGTTTTCCTCTACGATACGCTTCTTGTTGCTTTAAACCTTCTTTGATGGCCTGTAGCCATCTTTTTCCTTAGGAGACAAGCCCTCTAGCTGGACGGATACTTCATTAGATCCGATACTTCATTAGATCCGCAACTGTCATTCTCTTCGCCTGCTACATCTATAGTTTCCTTCCAGACAAGAAATGTTAGTTGTTGTCCACTGACCACTGGTTCAAATTGTTTGCTTGTATTGTTTTCACCAAATGAGCTCTGGAACGAGGGGTTGCCATCCACAGCTTATGTTCTGTTCCATCCCATCAGGTTTTGTTCCCAATAGTCTTACGCTATGTGGAAGATCAACCAAGTCATTGCTTCTGATTTGACTCTATACCATAGTCATTGCTTTTGCAACAGGAAAAGATAGAGCCTCTTGAATGGTTCTGGATTTAGTTTCATCATCTTGAGAGCTTTATCAATCTCAAATCGACGACGTGGGGCTTCTACTCAGACCAGCATGAGGATCCTCATCTATTGGAATAGATGAACAAGATGGCAAGTAACTCCCATTGTCCCTGAGGGTTTTGAGGAAATTTGTTCTCATTCTTAAGCTAGCAAGCTACTTGGTGTGCAAATATCTGGTTCCATCATGAAGGTCTATCTTTCTCAACTTTCCTTATGTTTAGGAAATCTTTTTATGAGAAATTACCGTCTCGTGACTCAAAATTTCATAACACTACCATCTTCATGTCCATCTTCATGATCTTTTACAATTATCTGTGAACAGTTTTCATAATGTTTTCCTTTAGCCAAACGAAAACTCATTAGTATATTAAATGCATTTTTTTCGATGATCAAATAATTATTCACTAAATTATCTCCTTTTTATTTAATTGGTAAATTCTTCATTATTTTCATGTTTGAAAACGTTCTTGGCGTGCTTGCAATTAAATCGGAAAAATCAAAATTAGTGGACAAATAATAATATTTCCTTGTCTTCACAACTATTTTTGTGAACTCTATTTTTAACTAACTACATATTTACCCTAAATTAGTTTACTATATTATTGATTCTCAAATATTTTTTTCGATGGAATAAATTTATTCTTTAATTTTATTTTCAGTTGGATCAATTTGTAATTTATCCTATATTAATGCAACTGTTGTAAAAGATTCCCAAAATTTAAGTAGGTCAAGTGATTTTTTTTTAACTTTTAATAGCTTTGATTTGGGCAAGGCCGCATAACAAAACCCTAATTCAAAAGCCCAAAAGCTGCAGCCTAATCCAAAAAATTAAAATTCGGGTCACCCGACAAACCCGACTGTCTTTAATTTCTTTCCAAAATTCGCGGTACTCGACGAGACTCTGAAAATTCTATCCTTCCTCTTAGCCCAGTCCCTGCTTAATTCGGGACGTCGAAAGGATGAATGTCCGGGTTCCGGAGCCGCGCAGATTCGAAACTTGAGTCTCGATTCATGACAAGTTATATCAGAGCCAGTTCTAAACCGTTTGATCCACGTCGAACACTTCGAAGGAGACAGACAAGGTGACCAACCTCCGTGAAGAAAACGTCACGAGATTGGATGCGAAAAAATATCATAAACTTAAAGAAAAGTCTTGAATCCTATGTCGAACATAATAGGAAGGTCATTGGGGTATAAAAGGGTTCACACCACTTTCATCTTGTGAGACGCCTTTTATAGGACAAAATCGTGAGGTCAGAGTCCAAGGGACCAGAGCGGACAATACCTCACAAGGATGTGAATCCTAACGGTCAGACTGATTCGAGACGCCGAAAAGGTAAATATCCGATCCTAAAATCGAGCGGATTCGAAACTTAAGTATCGAATGTGACACTTGCCTCTACCGCGTATAACAGAAAGGGAAAAGGGCAACAAACAAGAAGAAGAAGAAAGAAGAAAAAAAAAAGTAAACGGAAAATGAAAATTTGAGGTCGAAATTCGGCGAAGAAGAAGAAAATGAGCATCGTGGCGAAGGAGACGATTGAGGTGATAGCTCAAAGCATAGGCGTAAATACTTTGTCAGCTGATGCTGCTCTTTCTCTTGCTCCCGATGTCGAATATCGCATGCGCCAGGTTATGCAGGTTTTTTACCTTTTTATAAAAAAATTCACCTTTAATGCTCCCGTCTTCGAATTACAGTCGGTTTTATTTCCCAATTCTTCTTTTGCATTTTAGTGTTTCTATCTTTTCCCGACTCTGGATGGATTAGGGTTTTTTATATCTGATTACAGGGTTTAGGGTGTTTTTTCTTTTTTAATTATGAAGAATATAGCTTAATATTACAAAAATGGAGATGATGGATCAATGTGTTACTATAATTACTTTCTTTTTTTGTTTTTGTAAAATTCTAGGAGGCAATCAAATGTATGCGTCACTCGACGAGAACTACATTGACTACGGATGATGTTGATGGTGCGCTTAACTTAAGAAATGTTGAGGTTTGTTACTTTCATGTTCCCTTTTAGTGTGTATATGTGCTAATCATAATGTCCTTGTTTGTATTTGTGTGCGGTTTCTGTGGCTGTTTTAATGTTAAAACATGTATAAAAATGCATGCTAATAGTTACATTTAGTTATTGTTAATGCTGGAACTAAAAGGGAGTGTATTGTTTTGGGATAATCTTTATAGTCAAATTTGGGTATTCTAACTTTAGAGATAATTATGGCTGGTGGCTTTACTGGGAATGTTGCTGATGATCTGGTGCACGCTTATCATATTTCTGATGGAAATGTGCCATTAGGGGGAATTTTTTATTTTGTACTCTGTAGCTTAATGCAGTGGAGCCTGGCTTGAAGCATAAATAGTTAGTGACAAGGTTTACTTTTGTTTGACAAGGTTGCATGATGTCAATATAGATTATTATAAGTAGGATCAAGATTCACTGTTAGGTGGGCTGATTGGCTGTGATAGAGAATATAAAGACTTGCATATGATGATAGATGGAACATTTTCTGTTATTTTTTTTTCAATGTTTAGAGAATTTGTTTTTCTTTAGTCTAATTCTTTTTTTTTCTTGCCTCAGCCAGTGTATGGTTTTGCATCTGGAGGTCCTTTGCAGTTTAAAAGGGCCGTTGGTCATACGGATTTGTTTTACATTGATGATAAGGATGTGGATTTGAAGGATGTAAGAAATCACGGGCTAAATTAGTTGCGCTTTGAGCTAAAATGGGTTGAGCGCTTGCTGAAGTTCCCATGTTTATTCCCAACATGTAGGTTATTGAAGCTCCTTTACCCAAGGCACCTCTTGACACTGCAGTCGTTTGTCACTGGCTTGCTATTGAAGGAGTGCAGCCTGCTATTCCAGAAAATGCTTCTGTGGGAGGTCTGTCTGAAATTTAGAGGCATTAGAAGTAGTTTCTATTCACAATCTTAATCTGGACCTCTTGGAATCTTGGTTTGCCATCCTAGACCATTCAAAATATGAATTTATTGTTCCTTTAATGAGCTGTAAAGGCCAAGCATTTTGCCATATCTGTATCATCTTTTCATGTTCATCAATGACAAAATAAGCATTTATTAGCATGGTTTTAGCATGTTGCAACTATGAATTTCTGATGTTGTTTCTGGTATCAAGATAGAAGACACTGTGAATTTTCCTATCAATTTGTTTGTTTGACCAGTCTTTCTGAAAATTTTGTCAGGAGCAAGAGAATACTGTATAGCATTTCGAATTATGTTCTTTCTATTAGTCAAAATATGGGAGCTAATAATTTGTTTGATTTTTTTTTCTTTTTTTTTATCTTTGGTAATTGCTGTTCCTTCTAATGGCAAGACTTACGAACAAAAGGATTAACTTCCGGTTGACATTAAATTACCTGTTAAGCATGTACTATCTAGGGAGCTTCAGGTATATAATTTACTATTGGTATTTTGTATTATATATTTTTAATATTTTTCCATTTATTTACTTGGTCTATATTCGTTGTATTGGTCTGTATCTTTGTATTGCAGCTCTTATTTGATAAAATCACGGAGCTTACTGTGAGAAAGTCTGATTCAACCCTGTTTAAAGAAGCATTAGTGAGTTTGGCTACAGATTCAGGACTTCATCCATTAGTTCCTTATTTTACTAACTTCATTGCTAATGAGGTAATAATTTTTGGATTTAAGACAATAATAACTATTTAAAAAGATGAACGAGCTTTATTATACGTTTGTTGCTAATTTGTTCCCTTCTCCAATAATATCAGGTTTCTCGTGGTTTGAATGATTATTCTCTTCTATTTGCTTTATGTGTGTTGTTTGGAGTCTTCTCCAGAATCCTCACATACACATAGAACCATATGTAAGTTAATCTTGTTGTCTTAGACCTATCCATTGATAGTAAATATATTTGTGAAGTTAATTCAATATAAATTGGTAAAGAAATTGGAATTGTTGTTTACTATGTTGAGTATCAGAATGGACTAAGAGCTATGAGATTGTGGCACTTGTAAGCGTGGATGTAGCTGCGGCTTATGTCTTGTTCAGTCCTTAGAAAGGCAGTTGTGTTAAATTTAAACCCATATGAAGGCATCTGCTACTACACTTCTTACCCTTTATTATAACCATTAAATGGTAGAGGCTAAGAATTTGCAAATCTGTCTGGATTCTGAAAGACACCCAACTTCCTGGCCAAAAGAAAAATGGAAGAAAGATAAAAAAATATATGAACAGTTTAAAACTTATATTACTGAATCTATGTGGGGAGAAGCTTTTCATTTTCAAAAGGAAATAAGTAGGTGTTCTCATTCTTGTAAGCTATCTGATCAAAGCAGTTTATTGGTAATTATAGCTTCTTTATAGTTTTTTTTTTATAATCAAAATCTAAATGGTAACATCTAAAATGTGCTTTAGAGAAAATGTCAGGTACACTACTGCATTTAACTTGATTAATCTCTAACTCTACTGAACAAACCCCTATATTCACCTCCTGGTTTGCTAAGAGAATCATTCTCTTGTCATAGCTCTTCTGTCAAGGATTTACCAATTCTAAACTAAGAAGGAACATTTTGTTTTTTTTGTCTTTCCAGCTGCACCAATTGATGCCATCTGTAGTGACCTGCCTTGTTTCAAAAAAGTTAGGGAACAGGATTGTTGACAACTACTGGGAACTTAGAGATTTTACAACGAAGTTAGTTGCTTCAATATGCAAAAGGTGAAACTTCTAAGTGTTTTCTATTTGCGCTTGAAGAAAATGTCTTGAGTTGGAATTTTTTTACTTCCAGTCATCCTCCAATGGTTGTTGCTGTGAGCAAACTATCTCTTTAGCAATATGTGATAAATGCACTCATATCTTGTATTTAACTGTGATATAAACAATGGTGTAAACTGAGGTTTGATACGGTACTTGTGGTAATCGCTGAATTTCAGTGGGTCGGTCATTGCCCTGATTCCTTGGTCCAGACAGAACTCTGTTTCCAGATTGGATTGTCAGAAAACCTTTTGTTTCTGGTGTAAGAAATAAACCTTACACAACTTTTAACTATGAAATTCGATCCTCTTAAGAAATTTGGGACGTGATGGGCTAATTGTTTCCGACACCTACATATGTTGTTGAAGGGTAAATTATCTCAGTTAGAAGATCTAAACTAATTCAAATTCATTCGGATGACATTTCTATCTGATTTGGTGATCTCTGCTATTTCAGTTTTGGTGCTATCATGCTTCATATTGATGATGATATATCATGTTTATGTTAGTATCAGCTTCCATACAGATATTCTCCATTTTTGTTTTCTTTCTTTTTTTGGGTCAATCTTACACCTGGAATTTAGGCTTTAAAAATTGTTGCAGATTTGGCCATGTTTATAACACCCATCAGACACGTCTTAGAAAAACTTTGCTCAATGCACTTCTGGACCCAAAACGGGCATTGACTCAACACTATGGTGTGATTCAAGGGTTGGCAGTGCTAGGACCCAATGTGGTATATCCTCTTCTAACATGTTTCGTGTACTTATAGTTCATTTTAAGTTTACTTTTTGTATAATGTCTTATGAACCTATTTGAATTCTATCAAAAGTTTATTTTAGACATAGTGGAATAGAAGAGAATAAAAATGATTCCACGTTCTGCTCCTTCCTCCTTTTCCCCTTCTTTATGATTCTTAAGTTATATTCATGATTGGACTATAAATGAAAATTGGACAACTATCATTCCTTTCCCTGTGAAATTTCTGCTGTTTTTGGGAACTAGTAATATTTAAATTTGATATATAAGATTTCCTGCCTCGTGGTTTTTTCTGCCCTTTACTTTTTCCCAGCCACTTGGTGATATTCAACGCCATTTCCATAAAAAATTTGTAAATTATTAATCATGACATATAAGCTTCAAGTCTTGGCAAAATATGGAAAAAAGATGTTCATAACTTTTTATTTCATAAATTCTTATTGCTCATCCCAGACCAGCTTTAAATACACTTCTCATTAAATATTTTTCTCCTCTTCTGTGTATGAATAAAGAAATGAGAAATATGAGCTTTTATATCTCTCTTCATAGGTGGCTGTTGCTTTTTATGCAAAGCTTCCACTCTGTCTTTCAAATTCTTTTGATAGACTTGTCAGAATTTACTTTCAAACCATTTTCTGTTTGAGTTTTGAACATTTTATTGCTATTTTTGGTAATTTTATTCATTTATGATACATCTTACTTCACGAGTAGGTTTGCCTTTTTATTCTGCCAAATCTTGAGCCATACCTTCGACTCCTTGAACCAGAGTTGCTACTAGAGAAGCAAAAGAATGGGATAAAGAGATATGAAGGTTGGCGGGTTTATGGTGCCTTATTGGTGAGTGTTGTTCTTGTATAGTGCTTCATAGTGAACACAGAAATTTTTACTAGTTTGCACTTTTCAGCGTGCAGCAGGTCAAGGCATATATGAACGTCTCAAAATCTTTCCACCTTTGCCATCATCTCCAGGCGATGCTGTCTGGAAGTCCAAAGAAAAAGTAGTCGCTGCAGTGCCAAGTAAGAGTTCCTTCTCTTTTCTAAGATGCTCTTACTCATGGATGTTTAACCCTCCAAATTAGTGTGAATACAAATTTCTAATGATGGATTACTCAAATGGTGCCTGGTAGATAAGATTAGAGAAATAATGTGCTTCAAGAGTGTGCATATAATAACAATAATAATAATAATAAAAACAATAATAATAATAATAATGCAAAACAGTTTTAGCTCCTTTGTACATCCTTTGACATTCTTGGAAATATGCAAATGATGCTTCTGACCTAACAAGAAAAGATGCCAACCTGTGGTCCCATAAAAAAAAACTGTCTTGTTCTTTTAGCTTGATTTTGTTACTTCCTTCATTTGCCTCTCATCATATTCTCTGATTGATCATTGACAAGTTGTTCAACTAGAGTAATGATTCTACAAGGTAGCTAGACCCCATGCTTTGTTCTGTCTTCATTGTTGCATTCATAACTCTGAACAAACACTTTTAAGCATGCAATTTAGAATTGCTTGGTGTCCGGTGTTAATCTTATTTCTTGAGGTTCAACTCTATTTCCCTGCTTCCTGTTAAATGCTCAAGATAAACGCAAGGCGAGCATGGAGCCCATGGAACACAAAGCAGCCTTGAAGAAAATAGCAACCGATGGCCGAATTGGCATGGTTTCAACCAACTCCTAGCCATCTCCCATGCAAGGGGAAATGGTCACTCCTTTTCCATCTTGTGACTTGGACGCAGACCAGCCACTGTCATCTGAAAGGATACCCAATGATCAAAGATCAGGCAATAGAGTTGGAAAAGACAGTCAAATTTTGAAGACGTTAGTCATCCTTAATCAAATTTGGACTTGCATTCTGGACGTACATTGGTATCATTATTTGAGCTATTTGGTGAAGGCATTCTCTCCTTCATTCCAGCTCCTGAGATGTCTCTGTTTTTATAACATGTTGTAGAATAGCAGGGTTTTTTTCTTTTTTCTTTTTTTTTTTAATTGTTGTTGGGGTAGGAATATCACCATTATCATAATAAAAGATCATTTTTATAGTTCCTCTATCGCTCTCTCTCTCTCTCTCTCTCTCTCTCTCTCTCTCTCTCTCTTTCATATATATGACTTTCCATCTGAAGTTTGCGCAACAAGTAACGACATATATAGTTAATTCAATTTATTCAGCAGACGTGGTTTTGTAAAACATAGGAATTGGTGAAACAAATTAAAAAAAACAAGAACAAAAACAAAAATGTAATCTGTAGTCTGAAATTTTAAGGATTTAGGTTCCCAAGTGTAACAGATTTAAGCAGCCAGTTTGGCGGATTCAAGCTCTACTGCTTTCATCAAGAAGCTGCCTTCTTCCAAGACCATTTGAACAGGCAAGAATCCCATCCCATTAGCCATAGCAATCATCATCCTCTTTGTCTCTGCTTTGAACTCCTCCAAATCCACCGTCCCATTGGAGTCATGATCGAACTGCACAAACAGTGAATTGTAAACGTGAGCCATCTCCTTGGGGTCCGTCTTAACATCGATGCCAAAGTGAGCTTCGAAGACCCTCAGACTCTGCAACTCCTTCAACAACTCTGCATAAGAGAGGAGTCCATCATGGTCAGTGTCAAGATGCGCAAACCGATCCTGTATTGAGACGTTGAATGCTTCTTCATCTTCAACGAAGTTAACAATTGTAGCACTGTCCAACACTTCCACACTCATCCTGCTCTTTGGCTTCTCAAACTGTATATCAAAAGTGACGAGACTATAAGACTTTTAAACAAGAAAATGTTTGGAGCTTCAATTGACTATTGACTAAGGACGTGGCTGGATGTTAAACATATTTATAGGTGATACCCACCGGCTATACAGTTATCAAGTCACTCGTTTCTTAGATTTAGTCCAAATACGCTGGCTATACCATTGTGCCAAATAGAAGCTTCATTTCTAATTTCTGGCCACAGTTTCATATTTCTTTTCTCATTTGCTTTTAAAATCCTTTAAACCGTCAAAGGAATATTCCAAGGTTGAATTTCTAGATTGCATCCTCTGCAGCGGGCTTGTTTGTATAATATACCCATGTTCCACAATTACAATATTTTAGAAATTATTTATTAACGTTAATCAAAATATTTTATCAAAGAAAATAAATAAATACCCCAAGCATTAGGAATTTTGTCTTCTTTGTTCGGTTTTGTACAAAGATTTGGTGTTGCCTTTCGGTTTGAAAAGCAAACCATCCAATGGGCTACCAACTTAACGTGTAGAAATTTAACTCGGTCACAGGACAAGACCAAAAAGAAAAGGAGCATTCTTGTAAGGAGAGAAACCTTAACCACGACTTCAAGTTGAAGCCGAAGCCCAACTTGTTTTTTTCAGTTTGGACACTTCAGCGTTATTTCTAAGCTACCTATTTTATATTAGATGCTTGATAAGTTGATATAATATTCTTTTTGGATAGTTCCGATGCTTGATATAATATTGAAACTCGAATTTGTTATGTTTTGTAACTCATAACTTTATTTAGATTATTATAACTAAATTTAAACTTAAAATAAAATAAATATTAACTCAAATAGTATGCATGCTCATTTTATTTTTTTAAATTATAAATTTACAAAGTTAAATTAATTAAGTAAATAAAAATTAAAAAATAAGGGTAAGAATTTAAAAAAAAAAAAACTTACATCTAAAATGAATACTTGAGAATTATTTCACATTTGTTAATTAATTTAAATTTTTTGAGATTTTAAATTGATTTTACAGAAAATGCTTAATGCTTGCAAATATCAATTTCTCTTAAATTTACGTTTACATTATTTTTTTCTCTCTTCAAATTTGGAACCACTCAACCGAACTTTTTCTAACGTTGGGTGAAACAGGCGGATGTTAGTGGAAGTCACCTTACTTTGACTAACTACACCCGTCTTCAAAAACAATGAAAAATGAAACCCAATGACCCACAGATTGATTATTCCCTTCGCAGCAACGAGCCACCGACACCGAGTTTTTTTATATAAAAATATTAAATCAGATCATTTAAAATATATAAATAAATGATATAAGTATAATATGACTTAAAACTTTTTTAAAAATTATAAATAAATTTAATAAAAAAATTATATTTTATATTTTTATATTCACATGAATTATAATATATAATTTTTATATAAAATATGATATGAATGTAATATTTTATGCAACATGATTATACAAATTATTATATTTAAAAAATATTTAGATGATAAAAATAATTTTATTTTAGAGTAAAAACATATGGGTGTGAAAATTTATATTAAAATTATAAATTATTTATTAATTAAAAATTAATTATAAAAATCAAATTTAAATTTTAAAAACAAAATATTTAATTTTATTTACTCAATCAGATTTTATTAAATAATTAGGTGTTATAACAATTAAGATTAGATTTAATTTATCTTTTTGGATTATATATAAAATTATAAATTTTTAAAAGTCAATTTCATTGAATCCTTTATACTATTCGAATCGAATTTTAACAATCCGATTCAATTCAATAATTTTTAAATTTAATTTTTTTATGTTTTTATATATTATTTTAATATAATTTTTAATATATTTAAATAAAATTAAGTTTAAAATAATTATTTCATTTTTTTAAATTTAAAAATATATAAAAATTAAAAATAATATATAATTCAATTTGATTTAAATTTAAATTTTTTAATTTAAAATTCGATTCAAATTTAATATATTTATTTAATATTTTAATTTAAATTTAAATAAAAAAAAATCCAAACCTAATGTAATAATTTTAAATCAATTTTTCATTTTTTTCATTTTTCTTTCACCCTTAAACGTAACGTTCGTCTAGTCTACAAGGACTACAACTAACAACTAGTATTTTTTTTTTTTGTATTAAAGAAACAAAAGAACTTCTCGTCTTCTTTTAACTGCTATCAAAGAATATTAGATTAATTTCCATTCAATGTTTTTTTTTATTATTATAAAAAAATTGACAATTTAAAGATAAAATAAAAGGATATAAATATTGGGATTTAAATATTAAAATTATTGAATATCATATCATAAAAATAATTATATTAATTAATTAAATTAAATTCTATTTTTTGCATTAATAATAATTTGGCACATGATTTTGCAATGACAAACTTAATGTGTTATAATATTGATGATAATTTTTAATCTTTTTTAAACAATAGCAACGTTTCAGATTGCATAAGGATGTGTGGGGTGTTTAAAAAAACTTATTTAGTAATGCCAAAATTCAAATTAGATTATTTTTCTTAATACAAAAATTCATATATTAGAATTTAAAATTTTTAGTTATTCGAATGTGTTAACTTAATTACCAAGAAATAAAGTATGAGATTTACGAAATAATACAAGGATAAATTGCATATTTATGATTGTACTTATGTTAGTGGTTCAAATTTATCATCAATTTGTTTCAATTGGTTCATATGAATTGAATGATCTCCCCGTTCATGACTTCATGCAATCATCTATCAGTTTATTCAGTAATTTCGTAACTTAATTCAATTTATTTTGTTGATAGTTTAGAATGTGATAAATTTTATATTGAGTAAAAAAATCATTTATATATAATTTAAAAGAAATCACTTATGTTATTTAAGTAATTGAGCTAAGTGTTGGAGTGGACTAAGTCATTTGGGTTTACTAAGAGTTTTCCTAGTAGGTTAGACAATTTTAAAAGTCAAAGATGGGCAATTTGGCTTGTTTGGCAAATAGATTTAATTTTTTAAAAATTTTTAATTATTAGTATTTATTTATTTCAAATATTATTGATTCTGAATAAATATATTTGAACAGTGAAAAATATGATAGTACGAATAAACATATTTAAACAAAAAAATATGACTGTTTAAATAAAGTTTATTTAAACAATAAAATATAACTATATAAAATATCATGATTTTTTAAATTGGCTTGATTAATGACTGTTCGTTTATTATAAATAGATTTTTTTGCCTGATCAATTTCACTATTTCTTATTTAGAGAGTTTTAAGGTTTTGTTGTATTATATAGATATAATTACCTTTAAGATAATGTTATTCACGCCTCAAAGCCATATTTTTTTCTTTTTTACTATTTCTGTTTTTCTTAATTTTACTAACAATTTAAAGGCAATTATGGATACTACATCTACTGTTGTCTCTACTACTGCTATGGATTTGGAATCAAGCATGAAAGTTCACTTTCAAAATCAAGATGTAATCAGACTTAATTGTTTTAATAGATCAAACTACACTAGGTGGAAGGACAAAATGATTTTTCTGTTAACTGCATTGAATATGTTTTATATACTTGATCCAAATTTGGAACCAATTCTAAAACCAACTCATAAAGATTCTAATGTTATTAAAGTAACAAAAAGTAAACTTAAAGAAGAGGAACTAGTCTGTCGAGGTTATATTTTAAATTTATTATCTGATCGTCTATATGACCTATACAGAAATATGAAAACACCAAAAGAGATATGGACTGCTTTTGAACACAATACATGAACGAAAAGAAAGGTACGGATAAGTTTTTGGCTTTGAAATACTTTGAATTTTCAATAACTGATAATAAACCAATCATGGACCAAATGCACGAGTTACAAATTCTGGTTTTTAAGTTAAGTGAGATAGAAATTAAGGTTCCTGATTCACTTCAAGTTAGAGCTATTTTGTCAAAACTTTCTCCTTCTTAGAATGGATATAGGAAGAAAGTTTACATTCAACAAATACTTTCACTATTGGAGAATTTCATACTCATATATAAATTAAAGTGAAAAATCATACAAGAGATGCACTCTTTCTTAGAGGTTCCAATGTGAATTATGTGAATGGACAAAATTATGAAAAACTCACAAGTCTTTTGGCAAATTTCAAAACAATTTTAAAGTAAAAAAGAATAGCTTTAAGAAATCCAAATTTAACAAAATAAAATGTGTTTCCATTATGGAAATAAAAAACATTTGATTAAAGATTATAGATTTAAAAATCTTGGAATTAAGATTGGTTCTAGTTCTGAAAGCAAGGTAAATCTAGTTGAGCAAGAAATTAATGAACTTGTTGCAATGGTGACTGACATACAAATTGGAATGATCATATAAGTTCATATGGCTATTGCAAATAAGTCATCTGATTGGTGGCTAGATTCTGGTGTAACAATTCATGTTTGCAACAACAAAGAGTAGTTCAAGACTTATGAAGAATGTAAGAGACCATAAAACATCCTTATGGGAAATCATGTTCCTGCCAAAGTGATTGGAAAAAGAATGATTGAATTGAAATTCACCTTCGGATAGAAACTAACTTTACTTAATGTTTTCCATGTTTTTGATATTAGAAAGAATCTTGTATCTGTAAATCTATTATGTAAGAAAAGGCTTTAAAATTGTAATAGAGTCTGATAAAGTTATAGTCTCCAAAAATGGTGTATTCATTGGGAAAAGATATTCCAATAATGGTGTATTTAAACCAAGCATTGATGAAATAAATAATGTTTTTACTTATATTGTTGAGTATTTTTCTTCTTTATGGCATGCTAGATTAGAAAATTTAAATTATCAATATATGAATCATATGATTAAGCATGGTTATATAACATACCAAAAAAATCATGACATTAAATATGAAATCTGTGTCAAAGCAAAAATGACTAAGAAACTTTTTTTCTAAAGCTGAAAGAAGGACAGAATTATTAGAACTCGTACATTCTAATCTTTGTGAGTTAAATGGTTTATTAACAAGGAGAAAAATGTATTTTATAATATTTATAAATGATAATTCTCGTTATACTTTTGTGTAACTAATGAGAACAAAAGATGATGCTTTTGATAAATTTAAAAAATATAAATCAGTTATTGAAAATCAAAAGGAGAAGAAAATCAAAATTTTTTGAATTGATAGGGGTGGCGAATATTTTTCAGATT